GTCTGTTGACAATATCTTACAATGATACATTGCATCTTCGGAAAATCATATCCTCCCCATTTATGTTTCATAATGTAGGACAAGTCCCTTTCCACCCAAGAACATTGCTCAGGCAATATTGATTTCGTTGTCAATTGCCACTTTTTATTCACAGAACCTTGCAACACCTGTATTCGCCACTACCGCCTTTTAATATTTACTCTCCAGCAAGTGATATGTTCACTCTTTTCCTCGGCTACCTCTTCGTTTATCTTTTTCGTGGAAGACAACTCCCAACATCCTTCCCATCTTTTTTCTATTTTTTTTTTCGAACACCCTCACCTTGCTCGTCTTTCTATATTTTAGTTCGTTTAAAACGGACGTATCTGCCATTGTTTCGCTGTTTAAATGAACCAAACGCAGCATGTAGAGAAGCACAAATTCACGATAATGTCATAATTTTCTTATTAAAACTGTTTCCAATTAAGAATTTCCTTGATTCTATAAAATGGAACATGTTTTAGTATATAATTATTTAACTACAAGACACTTGATAAGAAAAGTCAACTAAAAAGTTGAGAAATTGTGGGAAATTGAAGCTGAAAATTGACACTTTCGCAAAGGTTCATTCAAAATGAATGAAACATTTTTACCTGAAAGATGAATGTGTTTTATTTGTAACGTTCATGGTAATGTTAGAGGTAAATAATATATAGCCTTATAATGCGACAATACATACATAGGAACTTTCCCGCGGTCAGATGTCGCAATGAGGAATGAATCCCGTTCGCCACAAGAAACGCCTCCAAGTCATTTGCTAAGCGCTACATACGATTATCAATCCGTTCAATTTTTACCTGCACTCATGGGGCTGCACTCATTTGGGGCTCAGAGCATCACCTGTAAGGGCAGTGCCTCTGACAGAGTGATTCTAGAGTTCGAGTCCCGGTAGCGACAACAATTTCGAATTTTTGGCTAGATAGCTACATCGAATTTAGCCGTGGACAAGAGTAGGATTCCGGAGGCAGGTTACACTGATCGATAGCTTTCCTATTTTCTCCGATCAACACCAGGCGAGTGCTGGAGCTGTACCCTAACAAACGGTTTACGGACTGTGTGCTCTTTCTTCTTCTACCCTAACCCCTTACTTACACACATACTAGCATGCATTACACTACCACACAAGTCGGGAGACCATTTGGGAACTTGAAGCTAGTCTCCGGTAAGGCGATACCGAGCTGGTGAGATACATAGATGAGGAAAACACAGCAAGCCGACGTATAGGTCCGCGCCGGATCTTCCCGGTGTGCGGGTAAAGAACACCGCCACCTTGCGTGTTAAATCACGCACTACCCTTACGGGAGTAATATCCATAGCAGTTAACGGGTGCGGAAACGAAGTAATCAATCATACGAGGCTCAGTGTGGGAATCATAAGAAAAATGTCAGGGAAATACCCGCGTCCACCGGCGCTTCTTCACGCATCCGACTCCTCCTCACCCGCGGCACGCGCCGCTCGCACGCGCCGGCACGAGGCGACGCACGCACGCGGAGGCACGCACGCCACGCACGCGCGTGCGCCGGCGAGGCGGGCGTGGGCGGGCGGACGCCGACGGGTGGACGAGCGCGACACGACGCGACGCGGCGCAGCGGAGGACAGCTGCTGCTGCGCCGCCCCCGCCCCCGCCCACGCCCACGCCCCCGCCCCCGCAGCGACGAAACAAGTGAACGCGCGTGCGCGAGCGCGCCGCTGGTGGGCAGCTGCCGGCTTTGGTGTTCGGTTGCGGCGTCCGCCGCCCCCGCAGCTCCCGAGGGAGCTCTGATGTGTTGTGTACAACATGGGACGCGTTTTGAACAACAAAAAATTAGGAGGTGGTAAAAAATACGACATGATTCTCCGCCGCTGACAACACTTTCGGTGTTTTGCTTGTCGTGACCGGTTCACATCGCTCGCTCCGACGCGTTTGCGCCCCCAGGCAGCTATGCCATCTCGCTACAACCCACAACCCACCTCACTCCCCAACCACTGGCCACTTCTGGAAGTCCCTGTACTTAGTCACCGCCAAACACAGTGGAAACTTTTTGACTCAGTTGCGAACGCTTGTATTTCGCAACCGCGTCACTTCCGCAATCCCGCACGTCCTCACCGCCGCACTTCTGCCCTCTAACACGTCCGCATCCCCTCAATTCGGCATTCCCGCAATTCTGCCCCCCCCTCGCACTTCTGCAACCCCTCAATTACATTTCCCCGCGATTTTGGACTCCGCATTTCTGATCCCCCGCTATTCTCGCAATCTCTACCACAGCCGTCACCAGCATTCTGGAATCGATTGGATTATCCTTTTAGGGACCTGCGCGGTCTAGTCTTCCATACCGCCCCTCGCGCCTTGTTTTTCCTCGGTATTCGCCCAGCTCTGTGGCTCCTCATTTCACCCGCGCATGCGCCGCACCCGACCCTTTCACTGCCGCCGATCTAGCACCGAACGGCGTTGCTCTCTTTGTCACCTGTTTTCTTACACCACTTCATGACTCTCCCCACTTTATTATCCCACGTCACTTTAACCATTCCCATTGCGACTCTATGGAGTTTCTCACCCGGCACAGCGTTTCTTCACTCCGACTTTCACCACCGGACACAACCGAATTCACCGGGCGACACCGCAGTCCGTCCCATTCGCTCTATGCCATTCCTGTCAACTCTACGGTTTGTTACTGGTTTTCTACGCTCCTGCTGGTCTCTGGCTCATGCTCTATCACACTGCTCCTGCAACAATATCGGTCGCCTTTGCGTTTTTGCTATCCATATGCTCTATGCAGATTTTCACTCCCCGCTTCCTACTATCTTCTCATTGTGCACACTCAGCTCTCCGCCTCCTTTCCTCTACCTTCGTACTACCCTTCCACTACCTCCGTACCTTGCCTTTTCGCACTACCTTCTTGGACTCCAGGCACTTTCAGAGCCTTCCTATTCCCACTCCTCCCCATCTTTCTCGACCCTCTCCCCGCCGCTTCACCAGTTTCGCATCCGCGACCGCCAACCGCACCCTGTTGAACGCTTCAGGAACCACAAATGCACTACATCTCCATAACGCGAAGTATCTGTCTCATCGCACGCCGCCGCTGCGTCCCGCCGTAACTCTCTCCGCACTTCGGCGCCTTTGGACCGCTGCGCTGGGCGGGGCTGAGCTGCGAGTCCGGGACGCGCCGTGCCTCTTAAATTCCCAGTTCCGCTCGCGTGTCAGGTACCTTGCTCCGCGCCCCACTGTGGTCCCGACTGGGGCGAACGCGAACAAAAACGTTTTCAATCAGAGCGAAATTCGCAAGTATTCGTGGTGTTTCCTGTCCGTGGTGTGTATTTTCGATACTTGTTGAATGAAACTGACGCCTGCCCGGCTGAGAATTCTACATGCTGGCTGCTCTGATGGGTTGTTTTTGTACTTGTCTGGAGTAATTTCCTGACCAATGACGGAGCAGTATATTAAACAACACCGAGTTTATAATATGACGCAATCGTACTGTGGTGGGAGGAGGTACTAGGCTGTTAACGGTGGGGCACTTATAAGTTTTATCCTTATTCTGGAAACATAAATATAATGTTGTTTACAGAAATATTAATTTCAAAAATACTAGAGGAAAAATAAAACTATATATTTTGATTTTTTCAGATTTATCATTAAACAGAAATAGGAACTTACGAAAGGTGTAAATTTGTAACATTAATAATTACAAAGATTTTTGATCACAGTTCTTGTTTAAAAAATACAAGTATAACGAATGCCGTTTTGTCCGACTACATTGTTCAAAATTCCCCATGTTTTCGAACAATTTTATATGGAACAGAACATAAGAAAATGTGGTATGGAACAGGAAGAACTTGACATTTTTGTGACTTTCCTGAATAATAGTGTGATATACCCTAGTACATTTTCAAACTTTTATGAAAAATAGAACCAATCTTTCCTTTATTTTCTATGTAATAGGATGATGAGCGATTATAAATACATTGCAACTTTCTTTTTATCAAAACTTCTGAACTTTCGGTTTTTAATTTTTTTTTAAATAATTATTTTTTTAAAACATTTAAAACATTTTTATTACATTTTCCGAAATTGCAAAATACTTTTATTTAAATATTGTCTTCATTACTATTATATATAATTAAAGGTTTCTTTCCTAGAGTCCCTTAGTAGTTAGCACTTTGTGAGGATAGATCAGAAAATACTGAATACAATGGCGGAAGAATCGCTATCATTGGAACGTTTTGTATTTAAAAAAAGTAAGATATGTATTTTTTAATGTCCCACGCCTTGTTTGGTAAAATATTAGTAAACAAGAAGGAGTGAAAGTATACATCAATATATGACATAAGACAGGAACAAATAATCCAATTTTTTTTAAATTGAAAAAGAATATAAAGATAGATATAAATGAAAAAAATTCCAAAACCCCTTAGATAATGCCTTTACATCTATTTAATGGTTTTTTATTGACGAATTTGAAGAAATCGGTACAGTAAAATGTAATTTCAACATACGAATTCGTGAATAGATAATATACTACAATATTACGTAAACTTTACGAATAATACTATAAAGCCTATTTTGTTGTAGCGCACTTGTTTTTGAACGATGTGAATTACAGGGTTTTAAAAAATAGTCTTTTTTTATATTTAACAAACGATTTGTCGCTCGTGAATAAGTTGCTTCGAAAATATTATTTCTAAAGAATCGTGTGAGAGTGATAGTAACGCTCATTCTGAAAACTGATTACTACATGCGAAATATAAATGAATCAAACAATTGCTTATTTACATCTACAAAGCGTTCAGGAAAGTACCGCTCTGTTTCGGCGGCAAAGGACATGCATGGCAGAGAAATTTAACAAAATGTTCATCCAGACGTGATAAATATTGCTCTAGTATTGCTATATATAAGCTATATAAATATTGATTGTATTATTAATCATTCGAAAGTGTATAGGATATTTTAAATAAAATAAAATAATTTTGTCCTCTGTTTGTAGCTCTGAATCCACAGTGCGTCTCTCTGCGGCTGCCATCGCTACGCCGCGGAAACCGGTACCATCTGCACAGGGCAAGCGGATGAGAATTAGGAGCTGTTAAGCGACCGTGTTTATAGTGTCGCGTAATGTTACTCGGTTTGTGTGGCATTTTTATCATTATTGTTACTGCGTGTTGGGAAGGGCGTGTTAAGCTAATAGCGGAGGAAGGTTACCAACTTACTGGTACACAAACAAGTATGTAGAAAGAATGGAGAATATGAAATAGAAACATTTTATTGGGGTTTTTATGTTTGCGGTTATTAAAGGTGCAAACAGGTTTCGCTAGACGGAATTTGAATTTCGTTGAGAAAGGGTAATAGTGTCAGTGGATGTATCAAAACAAAGTTACTGAATAAAATTAGATATTAATGGTGAAAAGTTCTTTATATTATATGCGGGTGGTATTTTCTGCTCTCTCAATCATTCTCACTTGATATGCAAATCAGTTTAATTCTTCTGTCTATTGATTGTGATCGTAAATAGAAATGCCGTAAGTATTATATTCTGACCTAAATGGCAGGGTTCAATAAAATGATTGTTGTGTCCTCCGTATTTTGGAAAAAATTATATAATGTATGAGAATACATAATATTACGTGATAGTTTTTCCAACAAATTCATTGTCAATTCTAATGTGTTTGGATCGTCAAAAATATTCTAATTAATGTACCTGTATTAAATGTATTGCAAAGGACATACTTAAAAAGATAATATTAAAAGTTTAAAAAATTAAATAACTCCTTTAACAGGTTCATTGTCATTAATTATTTTCAATGACGATTTTCGAACAATACAGTTTCCATGGAAGATGAAAATTAAGAGTTGATGTGCATATTAATAACTGACTGATGAAGTCATTTAAGTTTTCTTGTATACTGAAACAAATTACAAATGTTATCAAATTAGCGTTATTTAATACTGACATTTGCGATCTATGAAATTTAGAAATTATCTGCTTTCTTGTTCATTTTCGTAGTATCCTTTAAATTGCCGCATAAAAGTCGCAATGAATTCACTGCAGAAATTTGCGGGCAGATGTGTTCATTCACCTGTTGGCTAAGATGGCTGCGGCTGCGGAAATGGAGGAGATGGCGGCGGCGGTAGCGGTGATGGCGGTGAAGCTTTGGCAATGATGCTGACGGTGGCGACGATGGCAGCGGCGGTAACAACTGTGGAGGTGACGGAGGCGCAAGCTAGGCTCTGAGCTAGCATATATAGAGGAGCTTATAAAATGCTCCTCTTTGGACAGGAAAACCAACAAAACACAAGTTCTTGAAAGAACAGTGAACGCCACAGCGTAAGAATTATAAATGTATCCATATCTATCAGTTTATGCGCGATGCATATTGTTGTCCGTTAACAGGTGTAAGACGTTGCAAACGACTTGGAGGAATTGACGAAAAATTGCGGGTCAATTTAAAATTTGCGAAAAATCTGGTTTGTATTGCGTAATTTTTTGTGCAGAAAACGAATGTATCTGTGAATCTACTACTTATTTTTCAACAAAACACCTCCGATATATTTTTTCAGACGTTTATCTTCGCCACTCCAATTTAAAACTTAATCATTGTCTCTTGAGCGGCTCCATTTTAGTGAAGGTAATTCTAGCGCCGGGTTTGGAGAATTGGGAAATTCCAACAAGTTGATAAACATAACACTTTCATCTGGTGATAGATTTTAATATTGAGCGCGGTGTTATATGCAGGACTTTGGAAAGGAGGACACGCGGTTTGTGCTATTCGTTATGTTGCTGCAGAAATCGAATATGACCCAATCGTTTACATTTAACCCCATTACAGGAGATGTAATTCTTCCCATATCCCTCTACTCTTTGCCTGGACTCTTCTTCTATTATTTTTCTACCTTAAATACGTTAACATTCCTGTATCTTCTCCCTTATGTTATTCGCGTTTTCTTTTTCTTTTTTTTTTTTTTAGTTTTCGTTATATCTTTTTCAGGTGTTCGTGAATCCTCTCTTCACGTTAAATCTGAAATCTCCGAAATTTTCCGGGAAGAAATGACGGAGCTTGTTGAGAGTATGATGTTTGATGCTGATTTTACACTCTAAATGCTATATGGAAAAATGAAGTTCATCCTCATGTCACGTAAATTCACATTTCATCCACCATGCTTTTAAAATCTGGATGATTTTTATTCAAAAAAAAAAATCTCGTAAATACATCTGAAACCAGATCAGGCCAGTGTTTCTTCATTACTCACATTTCGCAATGTTCATCTTTCATCAGATCTCTTATTTCAGGTACCACAAAGATTCCTTCTTTAAGCTACCAAGCTTGATATGGAATGGTAGCCAAATATTTGTTTAGGATGAACCAAACTTCTGCTTACGATATTTTTATCTCCGGAATTCAAAATACTTATTGAGCAAACTCCTTTGATCCAATGGAATTCACGAGCCCTACTATCCGATTAATATACAGAGCAAGGGAATTTAAAAAACTCCTACTTGCAGTGGCAATAATATTCCAATTATTTCTAAACCTCCGAAAACAGTCAATTGACGTTCTTCATAATTCCCTTTTTAAACGTTTTTCGATATTTACGAGTGTTTCCTTTAAATGTACAGAATGTGCTACTGGTAATAAAGCTCAATGATTGCCGTTATGAGAAAGAACAGCTTTGAAGCTTCATTTTTAACAATCTACTAACATTCTTAATTCATAACTGATATCTCTTATTCCAAATTTTGAATGTACCCTTTTCGTGAAATAAGCAAGGAACTCCTCTCTTTTGATACCAATAAACGTTGTGGTGGGACGAGCACATATTTCTCTTTAAACCGTGAGCGTAATACCTGCGCCGATTCCTTAGAGGCCTAGATGTCGCGCCAAATTATTACGTTCTTCTTGATTAAACAACTGTATCCTTCTCCCTTCTTTGGGGAAATCAATAACGTCCATTTCACTATCTCAGCAGTATGAATAATCTGAATATAGATTTGTTGGTGGGTGAGTTTTTGGATTTGGTATCGGGAACATGTGGTACGGGATTTATGGCGTATGGAATGGAAATTTGAGCAAATTAATTCTTTGATACTTTTCTTGTTCTATTTCTACACGGTGAAACAGTGCCATTTGTTTACATTACTCTTCTGTTCTCTCAATACCATTTGTATACCAAAAGTTAACGATTTCTACTTTCCTTGGTACAATTTTCTCAAACCTGCAACACATGTCTGACAAACGCTATAAGTGACCCAAGATGTATCTTGATCCCTTTACATAACACGTAAGTAAGCGTGGCACCCAAATCTTAGAAACGAAGTGATGTGTTCCTTTCGGAATTTTAGAGTAAATGATTCACGCGTAACAAACAAATTTTGATCACATTCCCTTTTTTAGATGAACTTGCCATTCTTCGAAACACTTTGCTCACCAATTGAATTCACGTTTACAGCCTCTATGCCAAGCTGTTCTTGCTCGATGGCACACAACAACTAACTGGTTGAAATTTGAGCTAGAGAACTAACAAATTATCAAACAGTAGCTAGTGACTTCTTTATATAAATATGTAAGTTGTTAAAATGCATTGCCTGAGTTCATTTAAAATGTAAACAATCGTAAATTTTGCACAAACGCACATCTGCACATATGAACCAGAATGCAAAATTGATTCTTGCTTACCCTCCTTTTAATCAAAAGCAGCGAATTGCTACAGCGCCATATTTCATATGTTACTTTATGACATAGCGCATGGTAATTATTTGCAACATTAAAAACAGTAAGTTTTAAATACTGTACATGATAAAAAACATACTATATATAAAGTCAGGATGGAAAGCTGATTCATAAACTCCTATTTTGATTAAAACCGGTCGTCGCCGCCCCGTGATACTATCACGTACGTGACCGAGGAAATTGATCCTTCTTCAGAACACGAACTCTTTCCGGAACACAGCTCAACAAGCGAACAAAAGGGTTGTGACGATTCCCCAATGCAATAGCGATCACTCTGAAAAGATAATAAAGCCTTTCGTTGCGATGGGATGTGTATTCGTCGCGGGAGGGGGTGAAGGGGAGGGGGAGGGGAGGGAGCGAGAGTGGCGACCGCCAGTGGGCGTCGTGAGTCAACACACGCCCGGTTGCCGACGTGGGCGCCGACGGCGTGTGAACTGAAATATGCACCGCTGCTCCTGTTAATTTTAATGAACATATCATGTAGGTCAGTAGCGCCGGTCAATAACGGTGTTGGGGTAGCGCGGTGCAGCGGACGACGGGTGAAGAGACGGCGAAGAAGCAAACGAAGGGAAGTGGAATGATGGCGAAGGCTTCAAATGAAACAGCATATGTAGGTGAATTGCTTGATGTATCCGGTTTCGTCAGATGCTTTGATCATTATTCCTAATAGGTTCCGCGATAGACCCTCGCCTCACGGGCGGTAATCTAGTGCACTTAATTGCAGTTCTATATAAGATGAGAGGATAAGACTAGGAAGAGGAAGGAAATATAGCGCGCTGTGGTCCGTTTGTTAGGAACTGCTGCGACATTCGCTTGATATTGCTCGGAGATACCGGGGAAAACTACTGACCAGGGCAGCCAGACTTCTTCTCCAAACAGCGGCTGAATTTCACCTAGCTTAATTTGTGGAGTCGAAAATCCGCCCCTGCATTGTCGGGATTTGAACCTATGACCTTCCGGTCAGAGTAGTTGCAGAGACAGCGGAAATGCTGGTTCTGAGCTAAAATGAGAGGGTCTGAAAGTTAAGAAAAACCCGGAAAGCAGGGGTGACAGCGAATGTGAAAACGTGTGACGAAAGAAACAATAACCAAGAAGCAGTTGGGCGAAGACGATGAAAAAGAACAAAAATTACGGAGAAAACGAAAAAAGGAAGGGTGAAAAAATGGAGAAGAAAATTAATTTTCACGAAAAACTGACATTTTGAACTCGAAGAGATGACAAAAATGTTAAAAGCGGAGAAGTCAAATGTGAAAATGGTGAAGATGTTACGTAAGTAAAGAAGCAAGACGAGGGTGGACTGCGAAGTCGTAAATAAAAGAGATCCAAAGAACGAAGAAAAAAGACCTCGAAGAGAAGAAAAAAACCGAAAATAACAAACACGTAGG